GGCTCAGAGCAGTGGGGACTGTGCTCTTGGCCTGGGCTCCCGCCTCTGCCCTGTTTTCTCACGTCTCTGGGTCTTGTCCTCTTTTGTGAAGACACTACTCCCAGGATTCAGCGTCAACTCTAGAAGAGGGGCCTCATCTTGAGATCCTTGAGGAGCGACAGGTGGAGGACCCACCTCTGATAAAGCCACTTCTGGCTGCTGGTGGACGTGGGCTTGGGAGCCCCGCAGACCCCATGCATGGGCCTCTCAGCACTTTCCATACAGCCTGAGCTGCTGGTGGACCTGGGTCTGGCCCCTAGGTGGCCAGCCATGCTTGGCCTCCCAGGGCCCGTGTCTGGGCTCTGGCCTGCTCTGCAGTGGTGACCTCTTATTTGGTGATTGGCTCCCCAGGCTTCTCATCTGGGAGCCCATAATGAGGCCTGGGCGCCATGCTGGACGGGGCTAGTGTGGATCGGGCCAGGCCTGAGGCGGTCTGTGCAGAGCCGCTGCAGCCCACTGTCCCCATGTGTCTCGGTCCTGCAGCTGCACAGACCCCTAGAGCCCAGGTGTGGGCTGGGTGGGTCGTGGTGCCTTTGCCTTTGGATTCTGAGTGCTTTCCCCAGGGGCCATGGGGCTAGGAGCTGGTGGACACCTTGACCTCCCTCTCCTGCCTGTTGGCTGCCAGTTCAGATGCTGGCACCTGCTCCCAGATATGAGCCATCTTTACCTCCGCGGGCTGGAGGGGACGGTTTCCCTCCTTGGCCACCCACACAAGGGCCAGTCCAGTGACACCTCAGCAGGGCTCCTCACATGGAACATACCTGCCACCGGGCAGGACGAGGGTCCCACGGGTCTCTGTAGCAGGGCCCAGAGGCGTCTTAACCTTGGTTACGAAGTCATTTTCCTACTGTTAAACGGGTCCTGGGAAAGTGTGGCCATGGTCTTTTCCTGTGGCCCCCACCATCCTCAGAAGGCCACCCTGAGCCGTGGCCTCCTCATTCTTGGGCTTTGCGCACCGCTCCTGATCTCAGGCGGTTCTGAAGTGTCAGGGGACCAGGTAAACAGTGAGAAGGAGAAGGTGCTTGGCAGCCTTGAGGCTCTCCGAGTCCGGGTCACAGGCTTCCCCGCGGCCCTTCCCATGCACACAGGGACCACTGGACTCACCCACTAGGAAGCTTGGAGCGCTCAAGACTACCCTGGCTCTGATGCCCACGGCTCTTTGGTTTCAGTAATTAGAGGACCCCTGGAGGTCAGCACAGCGGGGACGCCCAGTTGGCACATGGCGTCATGGTGGGAGGGCAGGAGCCCATCCCAGCACAGCCCTGGGGCCCCCTGGGCCTTTGTCCGGCTTCCTCAAGTTCAGGAGTTTCACTCAGGTGCGTGGCCGGGGGCATCAGTGTGGTTGTGCTAGTTTCCAAAACACTAAAAGTGCTGACCTCTGTGGGTTCATGGCCACTGTTCCATCTGCCACCCCTCCACCCTGGGGACACCAGGACCTTTATGGGATGACTGAGCAGAGCGTCAATGCTGAGCCTCAGGCCCCACAGTGAGTTCAGAGATGGTGACTGGGACCCGTGCCTTGTCCTCGGGTCAGAACAGAAGAGAGGAATGTGGCTAAGAGGGGAAGGAGGCTCAGCAGCCGGTACATGTTGTGTCCACGCCCCTGAGACGGAGGGGAGGTGGGCAGCTGGGCTCAGCCAGGGAGCTGGACAGCCAGAGGCTGGGGCCACTTTCCATACAGACTGAGCTGCTGGTGGACCTGGGCCCAGCCATGCTCGGCACCCGTGGGCTGAGTGGTGCATGGTGCATTGTGAGAAAAGGGCCGGTGGGGCAGAGCAGAAGGCAGGGGGCAGGTGTGGAGCGAGGGAACCCTGTGTCTAGTCCTGGTCCTGGACGGACCAGCTCTGTGACCTGCCGCTGGTCACTCTGCTGGGGGTGGGAGGGCTGGTTCATCCCTGTGGACACTGGGGACGACATTACAATCCTGACGCTATGGAAGGGCTCTGGGGGCTCCCGTGTGCATGGGTGAGAGCCCCGCAAGCTGTGGGAGTAGCAAGCGTACACTGGCCTCTGCAGACAGGGCTCTGGGACACTCTCTTCACCTGCTCCTTTACCTGAAGGCTGAGGGCAGGGTCAGAGCAGGACGCCTGTGCTCATGGTTTGCATGAATTAGTTCCTGGAACGTCCTGACGGCAAGAAAGCAGGCTCTGGAAACGCAGTGCGTTCGGTCAGCAGGATCCAGCAGGAGGGACGGCGGGGTCAGGGCGGGCCTCGTGGGGTCTCCAGAGGGTGCCACCTGTCCTGGCCAAGGCTTCTCAGGAAATGCCAGGAGCAAGAGCTGGCAGGCAAGCAGCTGGGAGTCTGGGGACAGACCTGTAGGAGGGAGATGGGGGCAGCACAAGGGTGGGCAGTGGGTGGGTGGGCAGTGGGAGGGAGGACAGCAGGGTGGGAGTGGGAGGGGGGCGGCAGGAGGGGACAGCAGGAAGGGGACAGCAGGAGGGAGGGCAGCCACATTTTCTTTTGTGTTAGTGAGAGAGGCACCTGAGTCCCCAGGCCCACTGCCAGGGCTCCCGGGGCAGGCAGCAGCAAGGACTTTGTGCCACCCCATGTCCCATGGCTCAATGCCTCAAATCCTGCCACCAGAGGGTTCCTTGCTTGAACCTCACAGGGGTTATGATTTTGATAAATCCTTTAAAAAATATTTAAAAGTTTCAGCCACAGGGAATCGTGATGCGTCATTTACCTGCCTCCCACCCCACACATTTTTCTTTTTTAAAAATTGAGATAGAATTCATATAACATAAAATTAACAATATCAAATCCAACAATTCAGAGGCCCTTAGCACATCACCCCCCAAAGAAATTTGGTACCCACTAGCTACGCAGTCCCTCTCCACTCCCCCGCTGTTCCCAGCCTCGGAAACCACCGATCTGCATTCTGTCTCTACGATTCACCTTCTGGATGCTCTGATATGAGTGGAACCATCCAATGTGCTCATGTTCCCACACTCGGGATAGTGTTTTCGAGGTGCACCATTGTAGCACGCCTCTTCCTCCAGCCCTTTTTATGGCTCAGTAATACTCCAAGGTCACGAATAGACCATGTTTAGGTTCCCACTCAGCAGTCCACGGGCGTTGGAGTTCTTGCCACCTGCTCACATTATAAACAGCACCAGCCAGGCACAGTGGTGCACACCTGTAATCCCAGTGGCTCGGGAGGAGGAGGAGGAGGATGGCAAGTTCAAAGCCAGCCTAAGCAACTCAGCAACCCCTGTCTCTAAATAAAATTTTAAAAGGGCTGGGGATATGGCTCAGGGGTTAAGTGCCCCTGGGTTCAGTCATTGGTACTAAAACACAACAAAATGAAACAAAAAACCCAAACAAGAAAATCCCCCGTGTTGTTGGGCACATGTCTGAGTATTTTTCTGAGTTCCTGTTTTTCATTCTTTGGAGCATCAGCCTAGGAGTTGGATTGCTGGGGCCTGCAGCCATTTTTTAAAAAGTTGTTGTTAGACATATTAGGGGCTCTCTTGCCAGGTGTCTGTAAGTACGCAAACACCATTTGGTCAACTCCTTCCCCAGCACCTGCCCTTGCCCTCCCCACCCCCCTGTCCCCTCCTCTTCCTGTGTCTCATCTATTTTCATGAGACCCTCTTAGATTTTTTTCTCCTTTTTGCTTTCTAGTTTCCACACGAGGAAAAGCATATGTGGGTCCCAGAGTGATTCTAGGTTAACCTTTCGAGAAATTGGCAAACCATTTCCAGAGCAGCTGCGCCCTTTACATCCCCACTAGCATTGCGTGAAGACCCGATTTTTCCATGTCCTGCCGACTCTTTTTTGTCGTATTGTAGCCAGTGAGTGAGCATGGAGTGGTGCCTCACAGTGGTCTTGATTTGCATTTCCCAGTGACTAATGAGGCTGAGCACCATCTCGTGCACATGTTGGCCATCTGTATATCTTCTTTGGAGAACTGTCTAGTCAAGACCTTTGCCTATATTGTAATTGTGTGATTTGTCTTTTTGTTGTTGATTTGTAAGAGCTCTTTGCATATTCTGGATAGTAGACCTTATCAGACAGATGATCTGTAGGTAATTCCTCCCATCCTTGTCTGTTGTCTTTTCGCTTTTGCTCATCTTACTGTAACCAGCAGCACCTTAGACGGTGTGTGGTCTGATGATTAATCTTGAGGGATCTTGGCTCCCCAGGTCCCAGCATTCCCCTGACTCCTGCACGTGGGCTGTCTCTGCCTTTGGCATTCCTTTTGTGTGATCATGGGAAAGCCTGAGAGAGCCTCGCTGGGCATTTCCCTGGGGTCTCAGGTCTCTGGGAAGCAGGGGTCAGCCACATGGCCAGGCACCGCTGGCCTCCATGCCCAGTTGGTGTGCCTGCATCCTGACGGCTCTCCAGACCTGTCCATGCATCTGGGCGGCTCCCAGGTCTGCTCCTGGAGTCCCCACTGCTACACAGGAGCAGGTCCCATCAGCAGTGCCACGAGGGTCAGTCATGGGTGGGGACGTGGGAAAGACAGCCCACGCTGTGGACTCTCCCCTTCCCTCAGCCCCTGGGCCTGGGTTCTTGCTGGTGGACTGAGCACACACCTGGGGTGCCAGGCAAGACCTGCCCATCCTCCTGCTGAGCATGGAGTTTGTTCAGTGCCTGAGAGTCCAGCGCTGGCCATTTCCCATCATGGTGTGCCCAGTGCAGTGGCCTTCTGGGTCCCTGACGGGATAGCGCCTGGCCTTCCCCAGCCCACGGCAACTCCTCCCCACCTACAGGTGAGGGGCAGAGTCCATCCACCTCCCCCATGTGCCTGTCACACCCCGTCAATCCTGGTGGCAGGAAGGCACTTATAAAAGTAACAGGACACTTCGTTTTCCAAGGAGAGCCACTCACAGTGCTCCTCCTGTCTCCTGGGCAGAGGACAGTACTGCCCACACTGTCCTGCGACGGGCCTGGGCGTGGTGGCCTGCAGAATTGCGGGATGGTTTCTCATACGTGTCGTGTCGTTTCCCACCTCACAGAATTAAGGCGGCAGCTGGTGTGAAGATCACGGCCGTGAGAATCAGCAACGAGGACCAGTGGGCGGTGCAGGAGGAGGTGGACCACGGCAGCACCCAGACGACGGCCACCCTGGCCTGCGTGGGCCACCCGGACACCCAGGGCAGGTGAGTGCGAGAGGCCCGAGGCCCAGCGCCACGGGGGGGTGGGGGCTGGGGACCGTGGGGAACCCAGGGAGGGACATGGCATCCAGACAAATGTGGCTCCTCTAGTCCAGCAGCCGGCTTCTGATGGGTGCTCCGGCCAAGCTTGGTCCTCTTGCTTTTCATGCTCAAAAGCCTAATGAGGTGGACGGTCCCCAGAGCCACCAAGTTCAAATTGTCACAGTGCGGAGTGTGGTGTTAGTCTGAGGTCACCATTGTTGTTATCTGTGACCAGGGGGTCAGAGATGTCGTGGGAAAGCAGCACTGATGTCAGGGCTAGAGGAAAGTGGGCGTCTATGAGAAGCCTGAGGCGGCTCCAGCGTTGGGCCATTGTTCCTGATTGCCTAAAGAGAGTCATTTTGCTGATGACACACCGTGCACTGGCGCATGGCTTTGGTCTTAAGCTGGTCACTGGCGCTGCCAGCCAGCAGCCTCTCTTCTCCAGCTGGGGCGCCAGCCTCAGGTAGGCAGGCTGCACTCACCTGGGCAGCAGAGAGGTCCTTGCTGATGGTTTTGCATTGGGACCCCTGGTGGGTGGCAGGACCCCTTTCCTGCTGTCACGGCTCCTGCCCCCTCCCGTGTGAGGAACACGCGTCTCTGGTGGTTTTTCAGGTTAATAACTGACCAGGTGTGCAGCCTACCTGATTGTGACCCCCGCGGCTCAGGCCTCACCTGGGTGAGGTGCCAGCTCCTCAGCTGGGCTCATGAGCCCCTCGGGCACCTCCCTGCCACCCTGCATTGCCACCACCTGTTTTCTTTCCTTTCTTCTCTGACCTTTAGACACTTTGAGGTCCACAGGCACAGGAGTGGCGGCCACTGTGCTGTTTCCTGAGAGCAGACCGCACTTCTTAGCAGACTGAGAGGAGCTGCGTGATTGACAGCTCCTGGCCCTGCCCCTGCTCACAGGGACAGCCTGACCTCCGCCGGCTGCGGAAGGGCAGGGATCCTGGCTGTGGTGTGACAATTTATGCTTATCTAATATCCCCCTAGAATCCATTCCATAATTTAAATAAATAATTGCTTCTTTTTGTGCCTTTTGTTGGTCTCTGATATCAAATGAGGTATGAAACACGGCCCTGGACGGAGCTTTCTGTGAACAGTGAATATGTGACTATAGCCCGCGCAGCATCCCGCGTAGGTTGTGACAGCCTTGAGTGGCACTGAGACTTTAACAGAATATAATGTACAAACGGCCTGAAATTCTGTGATAAGAACTAGACTGTGTCGTGTGGGGAGCCCTGCTGTGCTGTGGGGGGGCAGTGCAGGTCTTAATTTAAAATATTTTAATGAAGACGCCTTGTGAGGCAGTGTGAGTAATAGAGATGAAACCAGAGATAAAGGGTAGTGTTGCCAAAAGAGGGGAGAAAAGATTAGAAAAATAAGCAAATTTGAAAATGTTCGGAACAGATAAGCTGAAGCCAAGGGAATGAGATGGAGGGAATGGCTCTCTGCAAGGAAGCCACGTGCCACCGGCCAGTGGGGACGAGTGCTTCCCTACCTTGTCTGGCTGTCAGGACCCAGAGCTCAGGAGCTGAGCCACCAGGAGCCACAGGACAGAGCCCTCCTCTTCTAAGCACTGTAGTCTGGCAGAGGGCGGCTCTGCCGTCCACAGGGAACAGGGACACAAAGCCCAGGCTTCCTGCAGAGGGCAGGCCCCGTTGCCCCGGGCTGGCGCCCTGCTCAGGTTGCAGCCAAGCTCAAAGCCAACGCGCATTGGGACGCAGAACCACGTTGGGAAATCTGGAATCCATGCCTCTGGGGTCTTTGCTGCTCTGCTCCAGACATGGTGACAGTCCCCTGGTTTCCATCACTGGAACAAATGCTTGAGACTTCGGGGCCAGCAGGACTCAGACCGTGGCCAAGGTTTTGGCTTGTGGTGAGGCAGTGCCCCGTGGCAGAGCAGGTATCCACCCACCCCTGGCCTGAAAGAGGGAGGAAGGGGAGGGAGCTGGCTTCATGCTGCCTCCCTCAAGGCCACACCCGGTGACCTAGAACCTCCTCTGAGGTCCCCAAAGCCCCCACTCCATCAGCACCAGCCCAGATCCAAAGTGGGGCAATCACTGATGAGCAGGGGAGGGCCACCCTGTCAGTCACTTTGATGAACCCAGTGCTTTTTGGTGATATTTAACCACTGGCCATGGAATCAAAGCACAGCACTGATCAGGACAGCCACTGCATCATGGGTCACTGGGCAGGAATCCGGCCGAGTCTCCCGGTGGCCTTACAGTTCACACCCGAGCTGGGAAAAGGGGCAGCTGTCAGTGGTCCTCACCAGGTCACACTGCCCCCTCGCCGACGTTTGTTTGAGCTTCTCCTCTCCCTCTGTTCCAGGGTCACTGAGAAGCGAAGTCACATGGAAGGTTGGGCTGTCTTCAGGACCATCTTGTGGGACTCTGTCCTCCCTCCCTTATTTTATGTAAAGATTTTGTTGTGAAATCTCCCCCACACGTGTATAGACACACACACATAAAATCATACATTTTATAATCATATGTTTTATATTATATAAATAAACAAAAAACATATCGGGAGCCAGGCATCATTTTAAAAATCTTTTGGGAGAACAACATTTCAAAAATTAGAAACCTGAGAGTCTGAAGTGGACCCTGTCCTTATTCCCACTTGGCGGATATGAGTCGAGGCCCAGTTCAGCGACCCTCAAGGTGCCAGAGCCAGTATTGGCCAAAGCCGTTGACCCCGGGGCCTGCCTTGACCATTGGCCAAGGCTCTGCAGATGCACATCCAGGGGCCCCTTCGCGTGTCCCCATCCCACAGCTCTCTATCCCACTGGATGGATCGCTCAGCAGCAGCAATGCCCACAGTGCCAGTGGCCATCTAGCACGGGGACCAGGCTACAGAGGCCCCTCCAAAGACACGGCCACATTCTCACCTCTGGAACACGTGAGCCTGATCTTGTTTGAAGGGCATTTGCAGAGGTGGCTGACGTGGGCTATAAGGTGGGTCCTGAGCCCCCAGGAGACACAGGGAGGTGCAGAGACAGCGGATTCGGCCACAGGCTAGGAAGCTGAGGAGCACCTGGAGCCACCACCAGCTGGAGCAGGCAAGACCAGATTGTCCCCTGGAGCCCTGGGAGGGAGCATGGCCCTGCAGGCATCTGACTTTGGAAGAATGCGTCTGTTGCTTCAGGCCATCAGGTCTGTGACCTTTGTCACTGCAGCTTGGGGACTTGTCAAGTCCCCTGATGGATCTGGGCTGCGGCCTCCTGGATGCAGTCAGAACCTCTGCAGTCTAAGCGTAGAACTCTTGGACCCAGGGGTCACAGGCACGGGTCCTTCAGAGAGACGCTCCCAAGTGGCCGGCTGAGCACTGTGGGGGCGTGGACATGAAGCACCAGAAGCAGGTGAAGTATTTCGTGCTTAGCGATGCTGGGGTTTGAAGGCGGTGGATCTAGAAACACAGGCTCAAGTTCACAGGGACGATTGCCATGGGAGCACTTGGCCATCTCCGTGGGAGCACTTGGTCATCTCCATGGGAGCACTTGGCCATCTCTATGGGAACACTTGGTCATCTCTATGGGAGCACTTGGTCATCTCCATGGGAGCATTTGGCCATCTCGGAGCAGCATCACCACAGAAGTCCACACCAGATTTCAAGAACCAAATGGGTGGGTCTTGGGAGCACCTGCCTCAGGTGCCCCGTCTCAGGAGGTTTGTTTTAATTTCTCTAGAAATGTCAGCGGAGTTCTCCTGTGAGAGCAGGACCCTTCTCCTACCCCCAAAGGATCAGATCTCAGAAGAAAAGAAAAAACAAAGCGCTTTCAAACACTCCCTCTTTTCCTAAGGGGGGGGCAGCAGCTGGTGGGTTTCTGCAGGAGTGAGTAACAGAAGAGCTCTTAGGCCAAATGCAACCAGTGTGCGATCATGGAAAACCTAAAAAACACAGCCAAGTAGAATGGGGAGTCTCAAGTCACCCCAGCCCATGATCAGCAGTGGCCATTGCTGACCTTTGGGTAGTGGATGCATGTAGACGTGCTCACCTGTGTGTGCAAACAATGTCCATCTGCACGTTAGGCTCACTCGCTCAGCTTCGCCAGCTGCCGGTTCCTGGGTGCTCTAGAGGGAACATGAGTTCCCCGTTGTCTCGTAATTCTCAGAAAGAGAGGCCAGTGGGGCAAAGAGGAGCGAGGCCTCAGGTCAGCGCTTGGGTGGGGTTTGGGGGCCTCCCTGAATTCCAGATGTTGGTGACATTGTTCCAGGTGACGGACAGCTGGGCCTTCGCAAGCTGGGCTGGTCTCCTGCATGGTCAGGTCTTTGTGAAAGAGCAGAGCAGAGCCCCTCTGAGGTCCCCGCACCTGGGAGTCCCATGTGACCTTTATCCCCAGGGTAGATGTCACTTCCGCCACAGGGGTTGACTCTCATGGTTCCCTTTCTTAGGCAGAAGTGGAACTGGGGAAACCGGGGTCTGTCCCCACAGGTCTGCAGCTGGGTGGTTCTGTGAAGCCCTCGGCCACCTCCCGGGTGGTCAAGGACACTGGGCCGCAGGATGGCTGTGCTGTTGCCTCTCCTTAAGTCATTGCTTCCCATTGTCCATGTGTCTGTTTATCCCTTTGACACTGATTGTCTGCACTGTTGGCGTGTCGTGATGTCACCCTCTCATGCCATCAGGATGTGTGTGCCATGAGCTAAGTCTGTCACACAACCATGAGACCTGTCCCAGACCTGGTGCCATCTCTGATAGGAACAGCCTCTGAGTGGCTGCCTCTGCCCCGCCCTCCAGTGTCCTGCAGAAGGTCCTCTGGGCCTGGTAGCTCTCCGTGGGCTCAGACTCTGCTAGTGCTGCCCGCCCCTTTGCAGGAGACGAGAGGAAGCACACCCAGGAGTGGTTCCCTCCTGGGCGAAAAGGGACCCGTGTCTTTGGAAGGGACACTTGATTTGGCTTGCCCAGTTGGGCTGCCCCATGGAGGGGGTGGGGAGCCGTGCCCTCCTGTCTTTGGGGTTCTGGTG